TTAATTAGGATTAATGAAGTATTGACTAATCTTTTAAAAATTATATTTTGTCTCCAAAAACCTGAAATTGTTGCAAAGAAACCCAAACCCAAAATAAATTCATTTGCCTCCTCCCTCCCGCCATTAACGTTAGAACTCCCCTCCCCTGGTTGCTATTTTTTCTTAGCAAAACCGAAGATCTTCTTCTTCCTCTGCATCTTCTTTTTCCTTTGCCATTAACACCTTCTTCTTCTTCCACCATTAACACCTTCCTTTTCCTCCGCCAATAACATCTTCTCCACCGAAGATCCGCCTCCTCCTCATCTTGACATTTTGTCCAGGTATGTGTATCTCCTCTTTGCATTTTATATTTCTATTTACAAAGATTTAATGATGGATTGGGTTTGGGTTTATGATTTCGATTTAGTGGTTTAGGTTCTTGGGTTGTGTTTGATGTAATGCAAGTTGAAAGGAGGGAAATTTGTTGATGATTTTCTTGCATTGTGGGTAGTTGGGGGTGGTAGCACCAATTATAGGTGGAGATGACTGAAAATGTATTTTGGATATGATGGATCGGTTAAACGATTTGGTATATCGCTTAAGCGATCAGCTATAAATTTGGTATATAGTAGTAGATCGCTTAAGCGATCACATATATGATAAAAGATCACTTAAGCGATCGTGCTTATTTATACCAGATCAATTACCACATAGCTTAAGCTACTCTACAGATTCTTTTTAAAATCTGTCAACCCTTAATATATCGGTTAATAATTTTTTTTTCTTGCATTATAGGTACTTGGCTATTATTAGAAATGGGACAAGATGTTTTGGGTGTTGAATATTTTGGTGAGTAGGTGGAGGAAGAAAGTTGCTGGAAGTGGATTGGGAAGAGCAAAGAAGTTATACCTATTGTTGTGAGCATAGAGGTTAATTTTGATGAGTTGATTGATGAAATAATTAGAATAGGTGATTTGAGTTGCTCACGTAGTGATATAGTTGTGAAGTATGTTTTAAGTAGAAACCTGAACATTATAAGGTACCCCTTGTTGTATTAAAGTCGGATGAAGGTGTGAAGTTATATATGCTTGATGTGGGCAATACTGGTTCGAGACCAATTTTAAGGGTTTCTTTTGTGGATAAACCATTAGAAGCTGGTCCAAAGGAAGGGGATAATGACGAAGCTGGTGGGGAGACTGCTGGTTTTAATTTTAACTATGAGGACATTGATTTCTTTGTTGAAAAATCAAGAGTAGGCGATGATTTGGGTGGTGAGGAGGACATTGTAGAAAAGGTTGGTCATGTGGGGGAGAATGAAACTATGGACGAGGAGGATATCGTACATGTTCCTACAGATGTAGATATTCTTATTAATATAGATTATGTAGAAGGTTTAGTTTGTGAGGAAGAGAACACTATGGTCTTTTATGTAGGTTTAGAGGTGGCAATTGCGGGTAGTAGTGAATTATCTCATGTTTTTATTGATAGATCGAACTCACGCATAGGGTATTTATTTGACAACAAGGAGGAAGTAGTGAGGAAGCTAAAACTTGTTGCCGTCAGAGGTAATTTTGAGTTTATCACCAAGAAGTCTAATTCATCGGTAGTGACAGTTGCATGTCGTGACCGAAAGTGCAAGTGACGAGTTTATTGTAGAAGGTTGGTGGAGTCTGAAAAATTTATTTTAGCACATATACCCGCGAGCACACATGTGGGTTGGGACATATTTCAGGTCAGCATCGACAAGTCTCTGCTGATGTTATTGGACAATTTTTCAAAAGTTAGTTTGTTAAAAGGAAATGTCCATCTCCTAAAGACATTCAAAGATATGTGCGCATAGAGTTAGGATGCGATGTCAGTTACTGGAAATGTTGGAAAGGGAGACAACATGCATAAGATTTGTGAGGGACACGCCAGAGCACGACTACGTAGTATTAGAAGCGTATCATTATATGCTTAAGTTGACAAACTAAGGTAGCAAGATGACTTTGAAGTGGGACAAGAATATGAGGTTTAAATATTTTTTTGTTGCTTACGGTGTTTCTAAAAGGTGTTTTGTAAACATGAGAAAGGTGTTGGCTGTTGATGATGCTTTTTGATGAGAAAGCATGGAGGTATATTGTTGGCGGCCACTGCATAGGACTGCGAGAATCACACATATCCTGTTGCATGGAGTGTGGTTCACTTTGAGAACAACAAGTTGTGGACTTGGTTTTTTAAGCAATTACTTATGATAGTGCCTAACAGTGGCGAGTTGTGCATAATATCCGATAGGCACAAGTCTATATAGAAGGGGATTGCCACTATTTACCCTCTAATACATCACAGATTCTGTATAAGACACCTTGGCGAGAACATAAAACAAAAGTTTAAGTGTGCTGCCATCCTTCAAACATACTACATGGCAACAACAGCTTATCGAATTGATGAGTTCGAGGAGCACTTCCGGCAAATCCAAATCAAGGATGATAAGATTGCTAAGTATCTTGAGCATGATGTTGGTTTCAAGTGATGGAGTAGAGCTTGGTTTCAAGTGATGGAGTAGAGCTTACTTTCCTAGAAGAAGGTTTGATGTCATTACCACAAACATAGCCAAGTCCACAAATTCGAAGTTGTTAATAGAAAGGGAGTTTCCAATTATTGCCTTTATTGATGCAATACAAAGGACATTGTCACCATGGTTCCATGAGATTCATACGGAGTCAGATAATTTTACCACAGTCCTAGTTTCGTTAGCTGAAAAATTATTGCGAGAATGTATGGAACTATCAAATGCACTGTTTGCCTATCCTCTCAATGCTCAAGAGTTCATTGTGCATAACTATGGTCCAGATGCCACAGTTAGCATTTTTAGTAAAACTTGCAGCTGTAAAGTGCTTCACATTCAACATTTACCTTGTCCTCATGCACTAGTAGCACTGAAACAATAGCACAAGCTGAATTTTGGTTTAAGAATTTACACGGAACTTTGCTTCCTTCTCTATATGGCAAACTACTACATGTTAGCTTATTCAGAAATGATATATCCAGTTCCTCCAAAAGAGTATTGGGTGGTGCCACCAAAGTTGATTGGCATTATCATTCATCTGCCATTCAAGAAGATAGAAAAATGGAGAAAAAGAGTTAAGCATATTCCATTAGCCTGTGAGGTTTCTCGGAGGATGAATAAGTGCTCAATTTGCAAGCAACCTGGCCACAAGAAGCAGTTGCCAGAATCAATCACGTGCAGATCAAGAAAATTGGCTTTGAATCGATTAGAAGCAAACAAGCAAGCAACCTATTATTATCAGAATCTACTGTTCGCTTAAGCGATCTGTTGTTCAGGTCTGCAAATAACAGCAGATCACTTAAGTGACAGTAGATTGCTTAAGCGATCTACTGCTCAGATTAGATCTGGTGAACACCAAATTGCTTAAGCGAACACCAGATCACTTAAGCGATCTGATGAACTTATTAATGCTGTTCTGTTTAACAGGTAATAGACCTTAGATGCTTTTTCGTTTACTTGTTCATTAGTTTCTCTTGGTTGTATGTCAATCTTTTGTGCTGCATTAAACTAATTTTATATCCTTGTATTTCCAACTACGCCATCAAGAAGAATGATGAAATCGAGAGAGTTGCCAAGGCCAACCGTTGAAGACTTATTAGTGAATCGAAAGATTTTCCAAGGCCAACTGTTGAAGAATTGTTGTTTTTAATTTTTTATGTTGACAATTGGATATCTTTTTATTTGAAGTCTTGAATAAATGATATTAAGGATGCTTGTAGTTACTTAATTGTTGCTCTTATTGTGCTACAAGAAAATCTTGTTAACAAGTTTAAAAAGAAAATAATAAAAAGAAAATTAATTATCTGGAAAGGAGGACTGCAATAAACTCTTTCAAAGTTGTGATGCTAATCTATATGAGTTGTCTTTCAAATTGATTGATATGGATGGAGCTTGAAATTTGTAACAAAATTCGAAATTTGTTGCAGGCTAGTTGGTTGCAACGGTTTAGGGTGGAGAGGGTGGGTTTGGAGTAAGTGGGGCTTAGGATATTGAAATGAAAAAAATAATTAATAATAATAAATATTAAATAAATGAAAAAGACTCACAAAAATAATTAAATAACCTTAGATCATTTAGTTTTATGTACGGTGCTGACTGACAAAGACGTAAGTTTTATTTTCACATTCTATTGGACTCAACCCTCCAACCTCCTACAAACAACCTCCCTACGGCCTCCCTTGCCTTCCCCTATATTTGGAACCCAAAAATAGGCACTCCCCTGATGCTCGCCAACTGCTTAACAAATTGCCACGACCACCCTGACAACCAACACCAATTAAATATCCCCCAAATTGGCACCAACAAACAATTTATTCAAAAAATAGTAAGGAATGTACTTGTTCTTCATCTTCTTCCTCCTCCTCCTTGGATGAATTTGTGTCGGCATCCTCGTCTTCAGACCCATTTATGGAGCCCGCTGTCCGTTCTTCTGCTGCTATCATCTCCTCTGTCGTTGGACCACCTTCACTCATCGGAAGATCCACTGGAACCTTTTCTTCTACAACCTTTGAATAGCCGCTAGACTCTAGAATTTGGAGTGGGGTTGGGATTTCCTCAGATTTGTTAATGTTAACTATGGTTTGTTGGTGTAACTAACATGGAAACGAAAATCTAAAGAGCAAAGATTTGTCGGAAAATGAGAACGAAAATCGCCGAAAATTGCAAGAGAGAAGTCAGAATTTTTCGTCAATCGCTTATTTTGGGTTACGTAATCAATTTTGAATGGGGGATTGTTTTTTAATTTTCAAAATTTAAATCAATTTTTGTTAATTATACTATTACCCATATATGTTTAAATATTTTCGGTTTAACCCTTTTTGCATGTTCAGTGATTCTTAAATGTGACATGTCAGTTTTTCAAAGTTAAAAAATGCAAATTTTGTTTTTTTATTTTTATTTTTATTTTTTTCATGCAAACTTGGAAGATCATGACAGTTAAATTTTCTAAAAAACTGGGGAGTCCATCCCTGTAAGACATGTGGCGAAATCTTCCCGGCACATCATATAACTGAACACCCAAATCTCTACTGCTAGAACTAAATAAGAATGTCGGCCGAGGCTCTACCGGACGAACTCTGGAGAAAAATACTCGAAACCGGAATCGGAAGCTCCAGCTTCACCTTTAAGGACCTCTGTTGCCTCTCCATGTCCTGTAGACGCCTTCACCGATTATCCGGTGAAGACTCTTTCTGGTCCCACTTACTCTCCTCTGATTTCGACAACTCATCATCATCATCACAGGCGACATCGATTAAGTCAAGTTACAAAATTAGGTTTGAGAAGGACCGCGAGAGGAAATTGGCGGCACATAGAAGGGCTGTGTTGAGGAAAGAGAGTCAAGTGGCCGAGAATTTGCGGAAGATTCGAGAAATTGAGAGGAAATTGCGAGAGGAGACCGACAAAATGAAAAGTACAGTTGCTGAATTATCCAATTTACGCAGGGTCAGGTAATTGATTCAGATTTTTTCTTTTAATTGTTTCTTAGAATTTGAATACCTATGAATTTATCAGTTTTGCTTCAAGTAGAATGGTCTTTGTTTTAGAAGTGATGCTTTTATTGAAAGGGGTGATTTTGTTGGCTTTCCTTCAGGTTTAGGTTAAGTGAAGTATGCAAAGTTTGATTTTTTTGTCAGTAACTCCCCTGAATTTGTACAATTTGTCAGAGACCTTGCTTGCAATTGATCAGAAACCTCTTTGAATTTTTTTTTTCCTTTTCTGTTTCCGAACACTTTATATGCGCAGGGTGGTAAATTTTTCATTCTTAGGAAGGTCAATGACATTTAGAAGCAGAGATTGGGAAGTTGCTATGAAGCAATTAGCTAATGTAGTTAAAAGACCAAAAATGAACATGGTAGAGTCACTTTTCAGATAAATGAATAGAAAATTTATAAGAATGAATCTAACTGTTCTTGGGATATTGAGGGAGACAAACTGAATTTGCTTTTTCTTATGGTTTGCAAATACATGAAGATTTTCTAAAAGCACTAAATTTAATTGAGTTGTTCATATTGGTTCATTGGGAGCAGAAAAAAAATTACCATAGATTTAAATTGTTGTGATACCAGGTAATTATTTGATTCAAAAATTTGTGATAGATTTTAATAGTATTTGAGAACCCTTTAAGATTCTTAATGATTTGAATTTGTTTGAACTTTTTTAGGCACATGTTGATAAGTTATTGTGATTGGTTCTTTCAGGCAAGCTTCAGTAGCCTTGAATGTGTGGCAGCCAGAAGTTGTTAGAGGTAAACAGAAACAAATAGTTGAGCAGTGTGTTATTCCTGTTGAATCTAGATTACATTCACTTGAGATGGAACTTAGACTTTGCAAGCAACAGATTGCAGGGTTTGACAATGCCTATGTAAGTATGAAAACTCTCTTGTCATGCAATGTGTTTTACTTTTGCTGTATTTAAAAGGAGTTTGGTAATTATAATACTAATGTGCTGCTATTTTCAATGACAGAGAGAGCAAAAACAAAGACTCGAGAAGGCGAAGGAAGAGTTGGGATCCATGAAGTATCACCCGTTGCGAGAGTATAAGTTTACAAGTAGTGAGGACAATGAGTGCAACTTAATGAGGCAGAAGTTGAAAACAAATAATAAGTGTAAGATACTCAGTTCTTGTTCTTTCTATAGTCAATAAAATATTTATTAATTGTTTCTAAAAAAGTGACTGATCATGTCAATAATGTGAGCTTCAAGCATTCTGCCAATTTGTATACTAGAATTACTTATTTATCCTTATTAGTTCTAATTTCTCTAGTCTTTCAATCTAATACTTTCTAATGCTTTTGAGGATCTCATGTAGAGGTTAGGATCTATGTCACCACTATTTTGGCAATTTTTTTTTTTTAATCATGGATTATTAAATCAAATTACTTTGAACAGTTGTGGTACTTTTAATATGTCTCATATCCAATGTCTGTTAATTATGCATATGAAATCTAAAATGAACGTTGAAAGTGCATTGATCTAGTGAATAAAAAAGGTTGTTATAATTTGTGCAAATTATAGTGACATGGATCCTGCCCATACAATAGATGGAAATAAAAAAAAGAAAAAAAGAGAGAAATTAGTGTGGTCTAGGCTTAAAGACAATAAGAAGAGTTAAGTGGGAATTGTGCTTTAGCATGTGCCTCCATTAGGTGAAAAACTTGTTTATGATTTGCTTCTACTGTTACTGTTCTACAAGGTGTACTTGGTATTGAGATCATACATGTTAGTTTCTCAATTGTTTTCTTCATCACCTCATTTATTACTCAAAAGAAACATGCTAAAATTTTGGCCGACAAATTAGTAGATATAGCCAAGTTACTCCAATTAGTGGATAGTTTAATAGAAATTTTTTTATTCAACTTTTTATGTCTGTGGTTTGTTTTGTACTAATTTAGAATTAGTTTTTATCTTGTGGTTTATTGAATTTTATGTCATCTTTTATGCCTATTATTAGATAAGATAAAGATTGTGTGAGTTTTTATCTTAATTAGATAGGATGCAAATTTCCAAAGGTGTTTAATAGAGTGAGCTCTCATGCAGACACTTGGATTTATCTCACGGTTGAAATTAGATATAAAAATTTGGCCGAACAACGTACACATACCCAAGGTTTGTCGTAATGACAAATTGGTGCTCAAAAGGTTTAGAAACGACAAACAGGTACCTTCCGTCATGTGTTGTTAGTGATTTCCGTTTGCTAATGGTGAAAAGACTAGAATGCCCTTGAAATTTTGATATTTTAGTTTTTTGTAAATTTAAAAATTTCTAAAAAACCCCCTAGGTTTGCTAATTTAACTAAACACCCCAATATATAAAATTTTTGTAAAATAACAAAAACATCCCCATCACTCGCAGTGCCAGATTTCGGCCACCGCCGGAATCTGGCCGAAAAATTACGTTATGGCACAGACTCGTCGGATTTGTGTCGTAATCTGGCCTTCTCCGGCCAGATCCGCGGCCAGATCCGCACCAAGCGTAGGCTGAAACTTGGATAAAGGAAGGGCAAGAAAATTCAATCTCCATTGAAAGACTATTCATCATATATTCATTTACTCACTTTTACAAAATGAGAGACTTGCCTTTATATAGACATTACAAATGATGGAATGATCCTTTACAAGATATTACCAATATCATAAATGAAATTGAGGGTTTAATTCTCATCCACATATTCAAAAACATAAGGCTATAACCATTTAATGCAAAAGTACAACAACTCCCTTAATTTTAGGATCTATGTCCCTAACTCTACTTAGCTTGGCTATCCTTCATCTATTTGAATCAAATAACATCCATTCATTGGGTTTGGGCCAAATAAACCTCTCCACACTTGATGCCCATGGTTTGGACCAAATAATAGGGCTTGAGAAGTATCTTGGACCTTTAGCACTCTATGGACAAGTTTGTGAACTTCTTTGAGTGATTGGGTCGATTGTTGCACACATTGCAAAACTTGGACTTCTTGATTCTTCAATGAAAACTCTTACACAACTAATGAATCATTTGGGCCTAGAATCTCATCATCCTCTTTGGATTGAGAAGGATTTGTCCTCAAATCCAAAAGTTCTCCATCTTCCAAGTAAGGAGATAAATCTTCAATGTTGAAAGTAGTCGAAACATTACCAAATTTAAAGCGCAAATCAATTTTGTATGCATTATCCCCAACTCTTCCAAGAACTTCAAAGGGTCCATCAGCTCTAAGTGCTAGCTTGCCTTTCCTCTTAGAAGGAAACCTATCTTTTCTTAAATGAACCCACACAAGGTCACTCGGTTGGAAAAAAGTGGGCTTCTTATGCTTGTTAGCTTTCCTCCTATAAGTTTCATTGGATTTGACTATTCAGGACCTAATTGACTCATGTAGCTTCTTTATTAACTTTGCCTTCTCTTTAGCGTCAAGATTCACTTATCTATCAAGGGCGTAAGGCACTTAATTATATGGAAGTGATGGGGTTAAGACTATAAAGGATCTCAAATGGGGAATGGTTGGTGGTATCGCCAAGGGATCGATTGTAGGCAAATTCGGCATGGGCTAGTTTGTTGTCCCAATCTCTTAAACTCTTACTCACCAAAGTCTTTAGAATGATCCTTAAAGTTCTATTTGTGACCTTGGTTTGACCATCGGTTTAGGGGTAATAGGAAGTGCTAAATAAGAGTTTGATACTCAGTCTGCTCCATAAGGATCTCTAAAAATGGTTAAGGAACTTTGTAACCCTATTTGACACAATGCTTTTTTGTACACTATGCAACCTCACAATCTCTTTGAAAAACAACTTAGTTACATGCGATGCATCATTGGTCTGGTTACATGCAATAAAATGTGTCATTTTAGAGAATCTATCAACAACCACCAAGGGAAATAGCTCACAAAGCGGAGTTGTAGCCTTATCATTGATATTGCAATTGATATGAAATCAAGTCCACTTTGTGAGCTATTTCCTTTTGTAAATCTCCAAAAAATCTAGTGATAGTTTGCTCATTTTCCTCTGGAATGTCACTCCTCGTCATAAGACCTTCAAATTCCCTTATATAATCCTTTACCTTCCTATCTCTTTGCTTGAGATTTAATAAACTCAAGTAAAGATATTGCTTGTAGTTTTCGGGCATAAACGTCTTTTCAATCATTCTCTTCAACCTATCCCAACACCTCACTCTAGCCTTTCCCTCTCATTTTCTCTTCTTTTTAACATTCTCCCACCAGAAGGAAGCACACTCCTTGAACTTTAGCATAACCACCTTGCATTTCTTCTCATCCGGGTAGCCTTTGAACTCAAGCATTTTTTCAATCTCATTCAATCAATCATTGAAATCATTAGGGTTTAGGCTTCCTCCGAATTCTGGTATATCAATCTTAAGTCCCCTATCATCATCAACATTTCTCTTATTTCTCACAACAACATTGGAATCACTAAAGTCACTTGGAAGACTAGTTTCATCTTCATGGGGAGGAGGTTGGTAGACTTGACGCCTAATGTGGGGTGTAAGTCTTCTTGGAGGTGTTTCTTGTTCAAGGACATGTGGTTTGGTTTCATGGGGAGGTGGTTGGGTTTGAGAGGTGTGTGTGTGGGGCTATGTGAGCTATGATGGCTTGGGCTATTTGGTTCATCCTTTCTTCAAGTCTTCTAAGGTCTTCTTGGGTTTTGTTGAAAGCAACTTCCCAAGGGGGCATTGGAGAAAAGGATCCACTCTTGTTTGACATAGAGAATGGAAAATTAAGCTATTGTAAGCAGTAACTCTGAGAGTGAACAATAACCTTTTGTGTATGGAATAGTGATATTTGAGGCGGTAAGGGTAAGAGGGGAAAGTTTGGGTAATTTTGGTTTATGTGAATAGTAATCGATGAATAGTGTTTTGGATTAAGGGGTGATTAAGCTAATTAATGTGGATTAGACAAATAGGAAGTGTTTAGTGTTTGGTTAAAGTTTAATGATAGTTTTGTTGAAATGGAATTGGTTTAGTTGGATTTGGATGGAATCAATTAGGTTTGGATGATGTGTAAAGTTGATAGTTAGGGGCTCGTAAAGTGTTTGAAGAAAGAGAAAAATCTAATGCAAGGAAATGGAAATTTTGGCCATAGCCGATTCTACCATGCCTTCAACACATCAAACATCTTTTTGTTCTCAACAATCAATATTCAACAAAAATTCCCTCCAACAATATTAGCTTTGATACCAAATTAAGCATCTTAGGTGGTCCATGATACCAAATTGATAAGATTATAGGCCAAAATGATTCATTGGTTATGCAATAGTTTCCATTGAAGAATAACAAAGCTCAAGTTTTGTAAGATATGCACCAATCGACTTAATCACTCAAAGAAGTTCACAAGCTTGTCCATGAAGTGCTAAAGGTCCAATACACTTCTCAAACTCTATTATTTGACCCAAACTGTGGGCTTCAAGTGTGGAGAAGTTTATTTGGCTCAAACCTAATGAATGGATGTTATTTGATTCAAATAAATGAAAGTTAGCCAAGTTAATTATAGTTAGAGACATAGATCCTAAAATTAAAGTAGTGGTTGTACTTTTGCATTAAGTGGTTATGACCTTATGTTTTTGAATGTGTGGATGAGAATTAAGCCGTTAATTCCATTTGTGATATTTGTAATATTTTGTAAATGGTCATTCCATCATTTGTGATGTCTATATAAAGACAAGTATTTCATTTTGTAAAAGTGAGTGAATGAATATATAATGAATAGTCTTTCAATGGAGATTGAATCTTCTTGCTCCTCATTTATCCAAGTTTTAGCATAAGCTTGGTGGTGAATTATTTCAAGCCAGTAGAGTTTCCCTTAAGCTTGAATGTATCTTGGCCATTTATCCTAGTAATTTACTTGAGTTTTGGTTACCATTTCCTTTTTCTCGGTTTTGGTATGTGTGTGAATTTCTTGCTCCAATTTATGAGTTGTCTTGGTTGGTTGATCTTTGGGGATTATTAGCATGATAGGATTGATGATTTAAGGTGTTAAAAGAGATTGAGAATGCTTGACTTTGTCTTGGCCGAATGAGTGCTAGTTGAAGCTTCTGTGTTTTAGTGTTAGATTATTATGTGTATAGATGAATTGAGATTGAAATAGGAATTTAGAGACTTGATTTCATATCAATTTGGTATTAGAGCTAAGGTTGTGAGAAGGAATTTTGTTGAATATTGACTGTTGAGATCAAAAGGATGCTTGATGTGTTGAAGGTATGGTAGAATCGGTTATGGTCAAAATTTCTATTTTCTAGCATTAAATTTTTCTCTTTCCTCAAACATTTCACCAACCCCTAACTAGCCACTTTACGCATCAACCAAACCTAACTAATTCCATCTAAATCTAACTAAACCAATTCCATTTCAACTAAACTACCATTAAACCTTAGCCAAGCACTAAACACTTCCCATTAGCCTAATCCACATTAATTAGCTTAATCACCCCCTAATCTCAAATACTATTCACTTAAACCAAAATTACCCAAACTTCCCCCTCTTACCCATTCCACCTCAAATATCACAATTCTATACCTAAAAGGTTACTGTTCACTTTTGGAATTACTGTTCATAATAGTTTAATTTTCCATTTTTCATGTCAAACAATGTGGATCCTTTTCCCCAATGTCCTCTTGGGAGGTTGCTTTTAACAAAACCCAAGAAGACCTTAGAAGACTAGAAGAAAAGGTGAACCAAATGGCCCAAGTCATCATGGCTTACATAGCCCCACACATACCACCTACACACACCTCTCAAATCCAACCACCTCCCCATGAAACCGAACCACCTGTCCTTGAGCAAGAAATTCCTCCAAGAAGACTTACACCCCACATTAAGCATCAAGTCTACCAACCTCCTTCCCATGAAGATGAAACTAGTCTTCCAAGTGACTTTAGTGATTCCGGTGTTGTTGTGAAAAGGAGGAGAAATGTTGATGATGATAAGGGACTTAAGATTGATATACCCAAATTTGGAGGAAGCCTAGACCCTAATGATTTCAATGATTGGTTGAATGAGATTGAAATTGTGTTTGAGTTCAAAGGCTACTTGGGTGAGAAGAAATGCAAGGTGGCCATCCTAAAGATCAAGGGGGTATGCTTTCTTATGGTGGGAGAATGTTAGAAAGAAGAGAGAAAGAGAGGGAAAAACTAGAGTGAGACTTTGGGATAAGTTGAAAAGAATGATGAAAA